GGTCAAGCCGTATTTAGCTTTTCATCTCTCAGCCTGATCAGATAAGAACAGGCTGGAAATGGCTGGAAACCAGCCTGGAAGTGGCCAAAACCCCTCTAAAACAAGCCTGGTTGACCAGCTAAAACCAGCCAACCAGCTTAGACTGGTTTAAGCTGGATTTTTCAGCAGGGAAAGTAAAAATGTGTTATAAAGTAGTACAATAAACTTTCTGTACAATAATACAGAATTGTGATAATAATTAGCGCTTTGGGTCAGAGAAAAGCGCACTATAAATATAAAGTATTATTATTATTATTTACATAATCATATAATAATGATAATTTAATATCATATACAAATAATATATTGATGTCAATATTTAATAAAACATTTATTTTTAAATAATAAAAAAAAAGATTTGTGTAGTTGTCAAGGCAACATTTCTAATTTTTATTTATTATTTTTCTTAAATTAATCATAAAATTGATGTAGAAAGCTATATAGAAATGTGACACAAATTAAGATGAACAAATAAACAAAACAAACCTAAGCGAAATTAGGATTTAAAACTGCAGTAGAAGGATATCAATGTCATTAAATGTATTTCTTGCACAAAAACTCACATCAAATGTGTGAATAATATCGTCGCAATATTATTAGCATTATATTCTTTAGCTGAATATTTGGGGAAAATATTGTGACACTTTTGTGAGCGCGATGCTTTTATTTTGAAATCAGACACTAATGCTCAGACAGTTTTTACTGTAACGTTCTCTTTATTTATTTATTTATTTATTTATTTATTTATTTATTTATTTATTTATTTATTTATATTTATTTATTTTATTTTATGCTTTAAACGACAGATACATGGCAATATAGTAAACAAAATAATGCCAGGGTGATAGAAAGTAAATAATAACAACAGTACAAAAAATATAATAAATAAAACAAAAATAAAAAATGAGCATAAATAATTAACTAAAATTCTTACAATTACAAATAAGCAGGACCTTTATATTAATAAAAAATGTTGAAACAGTTGGATGTAAAATGTTCTCATTGATTATTAATGAGTCACATGACAGCAGCTGTTTAATCAACTGGTGTTTGTGCTTATTGTCCGCCAGATGACGCTGTTCACCATCACATCATCAGACCTCACACTGTGATCATGCACTTCTAATGAAAGCTTGTTTACTGAATGAGCACTGTGCTACGTCCGACAGATCGCACTAATATGTTTTTCTCTTCTTTTTTATTCTTTTATAACCTGTTTTAACACATTTAATCTGTTTTTAATAATTTTTATTATTAGTTTTTTTATTTTTTATACTTGTCTTTTTTATTCTGGTTTATGTAAAGCACTTTGAATTGCCACTGTGTATAAAAATGTGGTATGTAAATAAACTTACCTTGCCTTGTTCCGAATTCAACAAACAAATCAATCCGTGCACTGTTTCCGAATAAAGTTATCTCAAAATCTTTTGTTTCTGCTTATTGGAGCAATTTTAAACTGGAGAAAAGTTTGGCATAAAAAGTGGTCATTTAAAAAACTTCAAAAACTTTGGTTTAAAGTGTCCTTTAAATTAATCCACAGATTTTACCCAGTGAGTAGCTGTTTATAAAGAGTTAAGCTGGATTTAGGCACAATGTGCAAAACTTTAGCAAATTTGTGACTGAGTTTATATTCTTCAGTTTTTCTTTGTTTTGGGGAAATTATTTGGTTTTATTGATATGACAATAATATCAGTGGTGTAAAGTAGCTAATTACAAATACTCAAATGGCTATAATGGAGTAGTTTTTCTCAGGAATTGTAATTTAGTAAGTAGTTTTAAAAATGTGTACTTTTACTTTCTTTTGAGTACATTTATAGTTAAGTAATCAGTACTTTTACTCCACTACTTTCCTTCAACTTTCAGCCACTACTTTATTTTTTCTTGTCTATGGGGATCAGAAAAATCAGTCCTGTGATTCCTGTCCAATCAAATCACACATAGCAGGTAAATCGCATCATAATGAACTACCTCAAAAAAGGGTTGATCAAAAGAAGTATATTAATGCAATTCAAATATATAATATATGATTGGATGTTTACTTTAAAATTATTATAAATATAATAATTATATTGTTCAATTATAATGATTAAAATATTTTTGTCAAATAATTTTGTGGCTATAAAGTATCAGTTCAGGCACCATTTTGGCACCGGTACCGTTTTAAAAGTATCGATTTAGGCACCGTTTTGGCACTGGTACCGTTTTAAAAGTATCAATGTAGGCACCGTTTTGGCACTGGTACCGTTTTAAAAGAATCGATTTAGGCACCGTTTTGGCACTGGTACCGTTTTAAAAGAATCGATTTAGGCACCGTTTTGGCACTGGTACCGTTTTAAAAGTATCAATGTAGGCACCGTTTTGGCACTGGTACCGTTTTAAAAGAATCGATTTAGGCACCGTTTTGGCACTGGTACCGTTTTAAAAGTATCAATGTAGGCACCGTTTTGGCACTGGTACCGTTTTAAAAGTATCAATGTAGGCACCGTTTTGGCACTGGTACCGTTTTAAAAGTATCGATGTAGGCACCGTTTTGGCACCGGTACCGTTTTAAAAGTATCGATTTAGGCACCGTTTTGGCACTGGTACCGTTTTAAAAGTATTGATTTAGGCACCGTTTTGGCACTGGGTACCGTTTTAAAAGTATCGATTTAGGCACCGTTTTGGCACTGGTACCGTTTTAAAAGTATCAATGTAGGCACCGTTTTGGCACTGGTACCTTTTTAAAAGAATCGATTTAGGCACCGTTTTGGCACTGGTACCATTTTAAAAGTATCAATGTAGGCACAGTTTTGGCACTGGTACCGTTTTAAAAGTATCGATGTAGGCACCGTTTTGGCACCGGTACTGTTTTAAAAGTATCGATTTAGGCACCGTTTTGGCACTGGTACCGTTTTAAAAGTATTGATGTAGGCACCGTTTTGGCACTGGTACCGTTTTAAAAGTATTGATTTAGGCACCGTTTTGGCACCGGTACCGTTTTAAAAGTATCGATTTAGGCACCGTTTTGGCTCTGGTACCGTTTTAAAAGTATCGATGTAGGCAACGCTTTGGCACTAGTACTGTTTTAAAAGTATCAATTTAGGCACCGTTTTGGAACCGGTACCGTTTAAAAAGTATCGATTTAGGCACCGTTTTGGCACCGGTACCGTTTTAAAAGTATGGATTTAGGCAGCATTTTGGCACCGGTACTGTTTTAAAAGTATGGATTTAGGCACCGTTTTGGCACTGGTACCGGTTTAAAAGTATCGATTTAGGCACCGCTTTCGCACTGGTACCGTTTTAAAAATATCGATTTAGCACCGGTAATAATTGAAATAACCCCAAACGATACCCAACACTACCTCAAAACATGTGCGCTTAATAATTGCAGCAAACTGTTTGGAAGCAATAAAATCTGTACATGCACTGACCCAGAGACTGTTTAGATGCAGGTCACTGATGGGAAGATGACGGATGTTTACTGTATGATGATTGAAATGGCCTTAAACACCCAGCAGGCACAAGATGTCAACATGACGTCAGAATGAAGTTGTACCTCAGTGTCATGGGGATGTTGCATTTTGTTTTTCCATGAAAATCATGGAAGTGTCAGTATGTGATGCCAAAATGACGTAGGATGTTTGCTCGACATAAGTTTTTGGTCACTTTCCAACACAACCTAAAGTCAACCAAATATCAATGTCATTT